ACTGCTCTGCTCCTATTGATTGTAGCGTGATGAAAAGTATATTATAATCTGCCCAGGAGTATGAAAAATAATTGTACCAAGTTTCGTTAAAATCCCTCGAGTAGTTTTTGTTTCTATAACGAACATACAGACAGACAGACAAAAATTTTATTGATTGCATTTTTGACATCACTATCGATCACTAATCACCTCCTAATAGTTATTTTGGAAATATATTTCATGTACAGAATTGACCTCTCTACAGATTTATTATAAGTATAGATAATATGTTTTTTATTCTAATTCATGTAAAAAACGTTGGAAGATATATAAAATAAATGGAAATAATATTATTTTATTCTGTATAATTATACCTAAGACATGTAGTTATTAACTTCTCTTTGAGTGTCTATATATGTTTATTTAATAAATATAATCTCTACTTCCTAAAAGAATAAATTGCAAAATTGCATGTTTATTTGTTCCATTAAAACTCCCGGGTCGTAGTTTTTGCATTAATTCTTACATAGTCTATATCTAAGAGATCTCTAAAATTACAGTAATTTTACAATTCAACACGAACAGTACAAATAAGCATATTTAGAAAACTTCAAAGCTTCTAATATGCATAGTTCGTTTTAGCGATAGAACTAACAAAATAGTTTTCGTCATAAAATGTCCGCTACAAAGAGCTAGATAAAATTCCTGTACGACCGCATCGGTGACAAACTCGGCTGGCATCCAAAGGGCTGACTGACTGTCACCGTGACTATGCACCCTACGAACAACGCCCTATGCATATTTAGCCTACTGAAAATCAAAACTCGTTATTATTAATGATTGCCCGCCATGACAATCTAAATATCTAACGGAGCCCAAAAGTTACGCACTAATCGCGCAAAATTACTTCCAGCTAATTCTCGAGCTCCGAAATAAATGTACACAGTCACCAGATGCGATCGTCGGAATCATCTTTCAAAATAGGAAGCGAAGAAAAATCACTTAACATTCAAAGCATTCAGCATCTTTATCTTTCGGATACAAGAGTTCATTTTATGACCATTAATTTTGCCTTTTCCTCGGGTGTTTTATCACAACGGCTGCGAGGCTCTGTCGCGCGTCTCATTAATCAAAAGCATTTGTTTACAACGAAGGGAATTTGATTTGATTAAAATAATTCGCAATATCCTTGATAAATATCACCCTCGGTCTCCGTTTGATCTCGCTGAAATTAATGGTGGAGGATTCAATCACGCAAATGCTGCCGCCACGATTCTTGCCGTTTCTCGTTGGATGGTGATGATAAAATAGCAATGTGATGACTATCGTTAATTTCCAATTTTTAAGTAGGTATATAAATCAATACATTATTATTATCATCAAATCTTTACATATATTAGAAATGTCCTGCCCGACAATTTTATTTTATCAAACGTTGATCAGACATTTCTCTATATCACACAGATTTGCAGGGTTGCGTAGTAATAATATAAATAATTAATAATTTACTATACTGTTAATAAGATCTGTTTAACTGTTGTCAACCTTTTTTGCGTTGCGTCATCCATTGCGTCAATCAATTCACCTGAAAACCATTGTGTTTCTCCAATTTTTCTAATGACTTTAAATATTAATAATTTACTCACTACACATTTTTATTAACCTTGATGTCGTTCTTCAAGCAAGAAGAAAACAAATGTAAATAAACTTTTGGAAATGTCTTGAACAGGTCAGATATTTATTATACAAAATTTGTGGAAAAGTACAAGTGTTTTTCTACTATTTTCAATGTTTTAACTATTAGTTAAATTTTGATGCAATGTAATACAACGGTCTATATGTGAACCGTTAAAATGGAAGAGTATTAAGGGCTGGCAAACAATGCTATCTTTCGGTAGCAAGGGGCACAGGATGAATAACGATCGACGTCACACCGATGTGTGCCGGTTCGGCTGACATACAGTGGCGGCGCTAGCGTATGCCGAGCATTGGAGGCCCCAAGTCCGCGGCTTAACCCGCCGCGCGCCGATTAATCGCAGCTAATTCGAACCGAAACGGAATTAAACGGACGAATTCATTGATCCCAACGATTTGTCCAATGTTTATTGATGAACTTTTGAATTTACTGCTGTTATTAGCAAATTTAGCTCATGTTAACCAATATATAATATTCCAGTTTCTATCCCATGGTTCTCATGTTGTAATTTACAAAATTCATTTGTATAGTTTTTTCAAAACAAGTCGAAATGGTTGACAAATTAACACAGTAATTGTGAATACATATACATTATTGTTATTATTAATGTATTGTTTTTTTTTAATGTCTGTTCCCAAATATAGATAACTATTTTTACAGCTAATATACGAGAAATAGATACGATTTTCTGATATTAAGGTAAATAAATTTTCCAAGAATTCAATAATTAAATTCCAATTTCAGTGCTAATGGAACGTAAATGAGAGCTTATAACAAGAGAAAGCAAAACAAACAGTACAAATTATATTAAATCGGAGATAATCCTGTCAATTAATTGGAGTTAGCATTGAGAACCGGTCGGTCGCTGGCGCATGCGTAAATTAAACGAGCCGAGATAATGCGAGAGCAAGGAAGCTTCCACTCAAACGAAGACAATTAATATGATTTAACTTAGTTGTCTGACATATTGATGTTACAATTCCATTTGTATAATCTAAACACATGTTTTAATGTGAAGTTCTTTGTTATAATAGTATAATATGTTAGCAACATGATCCTGAGTGAACGCAGGTATAATGATATGGTCTATAAATACAACCGAAAGAATGTAAAAATATGAGAATTAATAATTTACACGAAAATAAAGAAAAACAAAAAATCTATAGTTGCAAATTATATAAATATTGAAAAAACGAATGGAACAAATTATGGAATTGCTCTAGTTGGAAATTATTCTAATTAGAAATCACAGCTATTTTAAATAAATAATTAAAAATTTTCTTCGATAAAACAAAAACACGACAGGTAGGTACAGTGAAGAGATCGTTTTACAAATATACACAATATTGAAATATAAAATAGAGACGACTCGATAACTAACAAAGTCGGTTAACCAATGTAATATATGTATACTAGTACCAATGCTGCAAATAATTGAGTTCTGAGCTGGGATTTCATTTTATGTTTCCAAAACTATACTACAATAGAGCGCACTCTGTTTTGACCTAACCAACTAAATACGCTAGATTTTTTTTGTCCAAGCATTCATTAAGAAAAGAACGCTGATTTACATGGATGGACCAGTATGTATCTCGATGTTTTATGATTATACGAATAAAATATTGGCTCTTATTCTCTCTCATTCACGTATGGTAAGGTAATTTCTTTAAAAACGGCTCTAATCCCAGTGTAGCGCGGGGCGATCGTCGGCTGACAGTGACACATCGGTACACGGCCCGCTGTCCGACTGTAATTCTACCCCGCACTCGCTCCACCACACCCTCCCCCTCCCACCAAACACGCTACGGCTCACACGCTTTTATTTTCCAATTTACACAATTAATTAGGAGGACTTGGGAAATTGACTACAAGTTACAGTTACACAACCTTATGGAACCTTTTAGATAATTTTAGCTTTTCTGTAGTTAGTTTTATTAAGCAATCTGGAATGCCAAAAAGTTGAGAGGCCATCTTATAAAAAGTTTTAACTGCTATCTATAGACATGAATAGCAACAAAAACTTCACAGGGACGTCCATTGTACTTCTCACGCGGCACCATTCTTGAATGTGTTATGTATTTCGTTGTGTCCCTGAAGTCACTTAGAAAGTTCAAATTCTGAAGTCAAGGATCCGCTAATCGGGATATAAGATTTCGATAAATATTATAAATATTTTAAAATAAGGTGCAGCAACGATGCCGTTTAAACATGAAACAATTTTCTTAAGTATGAAATTAATTATTGCAGTTTCTTTGTAAACCTATTACCAGAATAAAGAGAGCGCACAAAGTAAAAGGGAATATACAGAATAGATGGGAGTGTTATACTCATATAATACAAATAAAACAAATAGATCTATCTATAAATATATCTCAACCAAATTCATAGTCACTTGCTTGACTACTTAATAAACATTTGAGCTCATTAATCAAAGAGATTTGTAAATAAATATTATTGATGGAAGAATAACATAAATATTAACAAATGATGTTGTCCTGCAATATAAAAAACGTAACTGAGTAGCAGAAACCCAAATAACTACCAAATATACAATCTTAACCTCAAACACGTGGTTTCTGAAAAGTTCAGTCTTTTCTTATACATTTCTATAGTACACTTACACTTAACATTGAAAACTATGACACAATAATATACTCGAAGTTATACAAAAAGTGTATATGGTTACATTATTGGCGTATACTGCTGTCCCCGGGGACGTAGTCAATCAAAGCGGTTCGAAACATTCAATCGAAGCACTTGAAAATGAAGTCAAAACCGCGAGTATCGTTCAAAGCGAACCCACCGATCAATCACCATCCATTAAACAAGAAAAGAAAAGCGCTTTCCCCCAACGATTGGCCCTCGAATCGGCCCAATTTACATGAGAGCCGCTTTTTCCTCGCATCGAGATTAGCCCTGAATGAGTTTGATGAATTGTTCGCACCCCGCAAGCCGGCCCTGCGAACGGTCATTTGTTAAAAATACACCCGATCCATGGATCTAATTGTCTCCTCTAATTTCACACTCCCACCATGATATCTGCACTGATTAAATGAACAGTCTTTTTTTTATTGCAGTAGGTGTTTTTAATTAACATTTCGTATATATATACGAGTTGTTAAAGGTGGTACCGTTATAAAAAAGCGAAATGTGGTGATAAAATAATAATGAAATAAATGAAACCCGAAAAAGAAATTCATCCATGACAAACGTAAATCCACACATAATAAGAAAAAAATAGTGTGAGTGGAGATCTGTTTAGCATTCTTATCAGCAATAATTTTCTAATTTGAGTCAAGTGTGGGAGGTAAGTAGATAATCTTACCTTTCCAGATGTTTTACGATGTCCTCGTATGCTGCTCTACAGTTCTCCCATATACCAGATCTGCAGACAAATAAAAGAAAATAAGAAAAACGAAGGACGAAGATACAAGAATACTGAAATTTAAAAAAGCAAAAAAATTCGAAGGTGTAAAAAATGACTTGATGAATCTGTTTCCGATATTTTTAAGGTATAAGTAATTTTTAATAGAAAGTATCTTTTAAGTTCACTAAAAGGACAGAACCATCTACTAATTGTTCTCGAGTGTTTTAAAGAAAAAGTTCTTAAATTAAAAAGGGTTTGAATTTAAAAGGAATAATTATGAGCACTCAATATTAAATGTTCCGTTAGGTTGAACGAGGGGTCGAAGAAATTAATTATGTTTTAAAAACAATCGCTTATATTTGTGCCGTAACAACTCATGCGTGATCGATGAAATTGTTTCTCGATTACTTTAACTCTTTATTTTTATTAATTAAACCTTTCTTCAATATCCTATTGTACTTTTGTAGCGAGTAATATTATAACCCTGAAAGTTGGTAAAGATGTTTTGATTTGTTTTGATGTCAATCATGTGGAATGAATTTTCATGATATTTACTATTTTAGTATCTATATAGGTAAATCTTATTTCTAGATTAAAACGTAGATTACCTTTTATCCTAATTAACGTGAGCTAAGTCACGGGTTACAAGAATTACAATTAGTTAGTATTACTTAATAACTGTAATAAAAATTTCGTTTACATTGTCCGAGTATAATAAAAGTGACCTATGTTCTTTTTCATGTCAAATATTATGCGCACGCCAAATTTAATGACTGTTGGTTAATACTGAACAACATATAAACAAACAAACAAATTGAGTTTTATATTTATTATACAACTTGGAATGGCAATGGTAAATGGCAAACATCACCTATATAATTATAAGAACAGTAACAAGGGCTTTATGGAATTCACTGCAGCGCTTATGCATTGTTATTCTTAAGGAGTAAAGGATTATGTTTCATGTTCAGTAATTTAACCATTATCCCTACAGATCAAAGTTAAACACCACATATTACTATTTAGAAAATTTGTAAGAATAAATTTCAAATAAATAACACTTGGCTAAACCTTCTATCTACAAATTATAAGATAAAATGTAACTATTGTGAATTTTATTTGAAATCGAACTTTTATAAGGGAAAATATATCGTCATTTATATTAATATTCTTACTTTAATATCGATAAGACTACTTTCAAATTTTCATAAATAAATATAGATATATATATAGATAAAAGGCTAAACATTTGAAGCTGTGTATAAGAAAATAATGCAGCAATTATGACAGTTTTTTGTTTACTGTCGGTGTTCCATTTAGATGTATATAATCTAGATAAAGGCGTTTTCATAATGGGGTTAATACTTATCGCTGAACAAATTTTACGGGGTGCAAACTAGTTTTCTATTAATAGAATAGGTCACGTAATAACAAGTCGTAAAATGCAACGAAGCTCGCACAAATTATTCTAATTATTTAATTGTTGGCCAGTCAATATAATGAACGATGCGTTGTTGATAGTATAAAATCGATTATCAAAGAAATATATAGGGTGTTTATATAGCACCTGTTCAGTATTACAGTGGCAGTAAGACAGTGGGGTAAGTGAATTGTGGGTCTTCCAACGGAAATTACGGCATTCTCTGTTTATATTTTTCTAACTGGATTAACTGGCGACTTGGACATTTAACCTGTATCACTTGACCTGCTTTAGAGGTTTCTTTTCGTGAACTTATTTATGTTAAGACCGTTTAAATATTTATTTACTGCAAACATATAATAAAAAGAAGCCTATGTCCTGCTTCATACCAAACAAGTATGTATAATTTCATGACAAATGGTTGTGCCGTCAAAATGCCGAGAGATAACAGACAAACTCACTTTAACATTTATATTATTAATAAGGATAATAACAGGTTTGATAAGTGGTAGTAATTTTAAATATTACTGACGTTAGTTATAATTGTAATATTGGAATACTAAGTAAAGTGAGGTTTCATCGATGAATAGCATGCTGTTACTATTAACAATGCTTTCATAGTAGTAATTATTTTTTTGTATAGACTCGACTATAGATCACATGATTTAGATTAATGTACTAAAAAAAAAAAAAAAATTTAAACGATGACAAAATTAGTATGGAACTATTATAGTATTATTCAGAACCTATAGATTTCAAACTACTAGTGAGTATATTATGTAATATACATACATATAAGATAACTAATGCTTATTAATTCCCATACATAAAATAAACATTTATTGGATTATCCATTAAATTCAAACCAGAATTTATTCGATATGGTTTCTATTTGATTTTAATTCGAATGTATCAAGCGCCACTCTACTAAACCGACTAACAATACGAGTGTTTAAAATTTTTTTCCTTTCATTATCTAGTCATCTAGTCTTGAACGCCATTTGTGTAACGTGATAAAATTCATTATATAAAGTTATTTACGTAATACTTATTGAGCTGTAAACAGATAGCATATATGTACTTTTAGTGTAATTAGATAGCTAAAATTAATGAACCATGCATTTACAGATTACCCTCATTAAATTAATTCATGAATATCATCAGCTACTTTATTCGTAGTCAATTTCCGTTCTTTGGTTATAACAATACCTTTGAACTGAACTAAGTAGAAATAATTTCCTAATTCGATCAAGTAGCTATTTACAAATTTTCAATTAACCAGTAACTAGCGACGCGCCCAAGCTTCACATTTTTTTAAATAAAATGCAACCCATATTATTTTCTCACAATATAGTATTTTTTGAAGTTACTCCTTATGAAAAAAATATTTCCTCTTTATGATATTAGTTTAGACTATTTTAACCCGTGACTATGTCTGCGTGACCGAGACTTATTTATTGACTAAGTTAATAAGACGTCTATGCCCTTATCCATCACAAATGCAAATGCCAAATTTCATGATGATTAGATGAGAATAAAACTTAATACAAACTTTTTACTAGTGATAAACAATAATTAGGTACTAATTATCTTAGATCCTGAAGTTTAAGCTTACCTTGCAAGTGCTTCCATATTATGCATAGGCTGTCCTTTGATGATGGACCCATCCGGCCGGGGCACCCCAGGATGGGGCATTCCAGGTGACATGAGTGCATGCTGGTGCATGAAACCCATTGGCCCTAAATGGGTGGGGGGCGCGTTGTATCCATTAGCGAGAAGAGGGGACTTCTCCATGCGAGCCATTTCTGAAACAATAATCATTCAATTGCATTACTAATTTAATTAATTCTAAATATATATAATTCTTCTTAAGGAGGGTCTCGTTTAAACTATGCTTCCGTGTGTATGGTGTGTAACATTTTATTCTACACCGATTTCGATGATTAATTTTTATTAGTAGGATTTATCCCATGTTGGTCGCATATAACAGTAACGTGAATTATTTATTTTATGCTACTACTCTAACACTGTACGAAATGTTGTATTTTTTTTAATTTTCGAATAATGCCAATAAACGTCACAAATTTATTTATAGTCGAGCAACAATTATTTAGAAAGTAAGTTGAGAGAGCAAGTGAATTTACAAACAGGTATTATTACAAGGGTATATATGTAAAACAAATCACAAATTTACGACGACGACAATTTTGAAAGTTGAAAAAGGGAAAAGCAAGACAGTTTATGAAAACAAAGGCAAGTATCTATTAGGTACCTACGAATATAATAAATTCATCGCGCAAAGACAAAATTATTTCCAATTTCCATTCGCTAAAACTCTAATAAATAGGCACTCAGAAGTAGCGCCCAGGTAAAATTCAATTAATGCCCAGTATTATCATTTAATTACACGTTCCAATAATCGAATCGCTCGTAAAACGGTGTACAAACAATAATAAAATGAGCAATGAATTTCGAGACTATTGTTTTCTGGGTACCACAAACAACCCAAGTAAACATTGAGGGGTGTTAGACAAATATTCTTAAAATTACCCCCTGAGAGGGTGTTTTGGAGGTACCGGGTGGTCTTCCAATGTCCATGACCTCACCCCAGCCTCGTGAGGTCACCAAACGGACTGGGGCGTCGAAAACAATTAACAAGGTGTCGAATTAAACACGAATTAACGCTTGGTCCGTTAAAGGAGTACTTATACCCTTTTCCATTGTGGCAGCGTGTTATTCAGTTACTGTTACCGATTCAGGAATTTCATCAAATTCAGGAATATTAAATATTACTCTTGTATTATAGATACGTTTAAAGGTAAAGGTGACGAGACGAGAAATTTTAATCAACATAATGTACGTGTCATCTCTTCATTATAATTAATCCGTGTACAAAAATAGATCTGTACTGCGTAGATATTTTATTAATAAAATCAATTAGTTTTTTTTTCCATCGCGTTTTCTTCGTATATAAAAAAATATATAGTAATTTATCCTTAGATTATATAGATAGAGCATTGAATCTCAAAAACATGTTAACTTTTTGATCATCATTTCATGTATCTTGAAGTATTTATATTTAATTATTTAACAAATAAAATGAGTTTTTGTGCATAATGTACAAAATTCAGGTACAAAATTTATAAGACAAAATAAATGTAGGAGTTATAAAGGAAGCACTCATAACTATTTGTCACGCAAAATTATAATATAATAGTATAAAAAAGTTGACCCGCTTTTCTCGAAGCATTTATATGGAGACACTTTATCTATATAATCTAAGGTAAATCCTTGATTCATTGAACAACTGTCACTATGTTGTTTTAAACTACTATTTGTTTACTGGTTGTTTATAGGTGATAATTTTGCGCCATTATTTAAAGTTATCGAATTACGAAATAGTTATTTTTTTATTTATAAGTGTATTCTTAAATACCCTGTCTGACAATTAGTTTTTGCATCTGAACTCCAAGTGACTTTTATTTTGATATTTTTTTACATGTTAACAATTATTTATTTTCTACTAAATAGCTACATAATGCCCTCTATGTAAGCACATTCCACAATAAATTACCAAAACAAAAACCTTACATATTATTTCATATTCATTGCACACAATAGATATTCGCTAAGTTACAGACAAACAAACAATATGACCAATGGACCCCGAATTAATTGCTTGGGTCTATTGACTTAGTTGCCGCTTCGGTTATCTTTTGAGCCACACAACCTAACTTCGTATTTATTGTAATTAATTACTCAAAATTTATTGAAATTTGCCCAACTACTTAATGCAAAACAGGTGGCCCTTTATTTAGTAAGTCCTCTACTGTAAATAAATCTATAAATTGTCTTTAGTAATACACAATTATAATATTAGGGAAATTATTAAGTAAATAAAACTATATACAGTTAATTTTATATTTTGGAAGTCAATATTTATCTAGCTATCGAATGCTCTATAATTTTTTGCCTTTTACATTCAATTAAAAACATACTTTAAATTTTTAGCATTTTATTTTAGTTACTACGGTTTATATTTTTAGAAATTGTTCGTTGCTGCCATCTGTAAACGTGAAATTTCTAAAACTGTAATTAGTAAATCGGCAAATATAAACAAAATAATCATTAAAATGTACAAAACAAAACGGATACTTCAGAAACCACAATTAGGTCACTAAACCGAAAAGCATATTTACAAATCCCGGAGGCACAAAATAGAACCCTAACACCGCACTGGTCAACCGCACTTACTAATTAACTAAATACGTGTTAAATCTCGTAATAACCTGCGGTTAAAACAACCCTTTTCCGACATCTCTTTCTAAACAGGCCACATTAGTTATACCATCTCTTTCTTATAAAAGTTTGCGGTCAATAACATGCTAGTTAGCATCGAACGTCGACGCTGTATCAGTAAATCATTCGTATCAGTAAAATAAATACACAATAATTATAATTAATAAATTAAAAATACTATAAAATAAAACGCTGTAGCAAAAAAAAAAAAAACATATTAAAACCCAGTTTGCTGTAAAATTAGAATTTTCTGCAATAAATTTTAAATATTATTGTTCATTTTATGAGAATTTTCGTAGTGGCCGTTGTACTTAAAGTTATTAGTATACAAGTATCAAGAAATATTATAAAGACATGTAAATAGCAGAATAAACGCTTTGATATATCTATTGAATAATTTCAATTGACCAGTGAAAAATAAAATATTGTATATAAAATTACCTACCGTCATATCAAAGATTACTTGTATTCATTTATTCAAAGCAATCAAACCATACCACAATAAAAAAAAAAAAAACAAATCGCCACACAAAATGTAACTTCATAATCGGTAAAAATGTTGATCGTTTACCATTATGACTATTATTAGGCGAATCCGTTGATCAGGCATTTAAAGAAATGAAACGTCGATTCCGACCCGCCATTATAACGATTTTCATCGATTTATTGATCGAATATCGACTGTCCTCGACAAATGATCGTACAAAATTACTGGCCATTATTTCGAATTAGAATCGATAGAATCGGAACCCCAATTATATCACTTATGTGTTTAAAGGAGGTTGGGATAAAAACCATCATAACTGCCAAGTTTAAGGACCAACAACTTTTTTTATTGAAGATAAAAAAGAAACATTTGATGTTCACTGTCGAATTAACTGTTTTTTATAACACCAGAAGCATGAAGCGAAGGAAAACAATGGTCCAAATTAATTGAGGTTCCTCTGAAATTGTAACAAAGAACCTTTGCATTCGCAAGTCCGCAGATAATGGGAGAGACATAATAACCATTGAGTTTTATTACGGTGAGATTACAAAATGACCAAACGAGCAATGTATAAATGATTGGCTATAAAGTTGAAGGAACGGGCGCTGTGACTGACATTGTATCGTTCCTTGTCGGTAACAATGACTCCCTATTAAAAAAAAAAACCAGAAAAAGTGCGACTGGGACTAGCGCACCAAGAATTCCGCATAATAAGGGAACTTTTAAATATCGGTTACTTGTCTACATCTGTAACGTCAGTCACGTGACTGGGATACTGACCGACTGACTGATTGCAATAAAAGTAGCTTGTCTCCTTCTTCATCCCAAATAGCATATATACCTATATGGTAAATTTCGTAACAATTAATTGAGTCGTTAAAGCGCCAAGAGGTGGCAAACAAACATTTATTATGTTAATTACATTTATAATATTTAAATTAACATACCTTGCCATTACATAAAATTAATATAGTAAGGAATATTATATAGTATTTGTGTTTTAGTTATCTTTATCGGGACTTAGAGTTATACAATGAAAACTCCATTAAACTTTAGTAATATATTACTGATATAATAATATACTAGTGATATACTAGTAATACGTAATATACTAGTAGTAGTAGTAGTAATACTAGTAAGAGAGGTAGGGCACAGCGGGACTCTCGCTCATAAATGGAACCGCCCGCCTGGGGAAGGACCTCCACCTTGCAGAAGTTCGCAGCCAAACAACGCTGTTTTTATAGCGTTGTGTTCCTGCGGTGAGTAAGGTATCCAGTTCCATCTTGGGGAGGGGTTGTGCTGATATTGGAGGGACCAGCGTGTCTTAATACTATCTTTGTGCTGGGCAGACGCGAAGTGCTGACGCGGCGTTCAGGGAGACCCGGTGAAACGGTTGCTCGCTGGCCGCCCGCAGGTTGTTGGGTTCCCGAACCCAGGGATTACCTAATCTCCGCCCTGGGAGGCTGAACCGCCGCCTGTGCATAATCCCTGGTGTGGTAGTCGTGCCGGAGGAGGAGACCGGAGTGGACCCGGCTACTACATCAGTGGGGGGACCGGGGGCCCTTCCGACCGCCGCGTCGGCAATTTGCACAACCTGTTTAGCGCAGGGACGGAGTGGACACCACTTTGTTCCTTTGATATCGGCACAATCTTTCCCTATTAACCTCCAAATACCCTAATACTTTATGGCCAGATCTAGAAAAAATAGACGTTACACAGCGGCACCCTCATCCACATTTAAAGTGGACTTCTGCAATATCAGAGGAATTCATTCTAACATCAACGCAATTCACTATCATCTCGAAACTGCGGAGCCGACTCTGTTATTCCTCACCGAGACGCAGATATCATGTCCGGCTGATACATCTTATTTACTATACCCCGGTTACAAACTCGAGCATAAATTTGCTCGTCATGCCGGGGTTTGTATGTATATCCGGACGGATGTCTGTTACCGCCGTCTCCATGGCCTTGAAGACAGAGACCTGTCAGTATTATGGATACGTGTGGATTACGGGA